GGCGTGGTGAGTGAGCGAGTGGCACCGCCTTGGCCATCGCCACTCAGCACCACCCATCTCATCCCGAGCTTGTAACTGCAGCATTGCCTGCTGTGGGTTACTTCTGATTGCAAGCTGGGCTCAGGGATGGAGCAGGATGCTGGGGTGTGAATGGACTCCCAGAAGTCCACGTGCTGCAAACAATGTGCATGGCGGGGATGTGGGGGGATAGGGGTGGGGGGAGGGGGCAGAGGAAGGCATTTTGGAAGATCTGGGGCTGAATGCTTTTGTCACAGGAGCGGGGCAGCTCTCTGGAGAGTCTGGCCTTTGTTTCCTCTGCCACTCTTGCACTGCTTTGCCTTTCTGTGCCTCCCCTGTGGGATACTGGACTTCCAAGCTGCCCACACCTAAACAAGACTGTTTCCTTGTAAATTACCTCACCTTTAGCCTTCTGTCACAGTAGCGAGCAAGAGGACCAAGTCGTGGGAAGAAGTAGATGGCGGGAGAAAGTGAGAAGCCCCTCCAGCTGAGGCAGAAGGGAAGATAAGGAAGTCGTGTGGGGGCCTGGGGACAATGATCAGGGGTGTGTGTGTGTGTGTGTGTGTGTGTGTGTGTGTGTGAACCTCAGGTGCAGACTCGGAAGCAGGAAGTAGTTGGTGGGACGGAGCTTCGATGAGGGGAACGACACACAGGTCTGGCCACACTGAGAACCGTGGGAAGATGCTACAGGTTAAAAATGTGAGCTAAGACATCTTAGTAAGATGCTGCCGATTTATTGGATTTATAAGCTCATGATTGTTTAAATACATTCCTCTTCATTTTGCCACGCTAAATTCATCTACTACAGAGGAGAAATTGAATTCTGACACTAAATTAACTGCTCTTTGACTCTTCGCAAGGCCACATGCTTTTAGTTTTTCTTTCTTTCTTTCTTTTGCATAACTTAATTCAATTTTTCAGCCCTTGCCACATTTTCTTCAGCTCCTACGCACTTTTGAGGCCTGTTATAGTGTTATTATCTTATTATTAGTCACTAACTGGGGATAATCCACTTTTCCAATTGATCTATGCTGCTTTAAAGCTCCCGCCCCACAGGCGGTGATGGCAGGTGGGTTAGAAAATTCTGAGAGCTGGTGGTGGAGACCAGCGACACTGACCTTGGAGCTGCAGTGACCTATGGTCAGTCGTCAAAGAAGCATCATGAGGTGGATTGCCAAGGTCACTGGCAGGGTCAACCACTTGCATCAAACTCAATGTTGTGTGTGTTTAACACGTGACACGGTTCCTGCTACTCTGTAGCTGTTCTAAGTTTTATTCTGCCGGTGTCGCGCTCATTAGTTGTATGGATCGACCCTCTCTACATACAGACTTCAGATGGACCCCCTTACACACAACCTATGGGTATGCTTTGTGGGAAGGCTGCCTGAAGCTCCATGAATCTGGGAAGGTGGCGCTGCATTTACTTGGGGACCCGGGATGTTCACTGTGGATGAATGAGGTTTGGATGTGAACAGTTGTTGAATTCACTTGAGGAAGAATTGGCCCGAACCTACACGTTGGAATGAAGATGAGGTCAGAACATTCAATGGACTCCGATGAGAATCAGTGAAATGTAGTGTGTTCCAGCAACCATCAGGAAGGACATGCCGTGTGGCCGAGTGTCTCTGGCCTCTTTGCTGCTGTCAGCCGCTTTCCCGTTTTCCTACTTGTTGACAGTGTTGGGACAGCTTTGTGAATACAGCTCACAATGAGAGGAGGAGAAGGAAATAAATGGGCAAGAGCTCCCTCTTGGGGCTCAGGAGGATTCTTGGGGTGCGGGGGGGACCCTGTGGGTGATGTGGGAGGTAGAGGGACAGAAAGGTGACTTCAGAGAGGCACAGGTGCGGATGGCACGTGTCCGTGGTGTTTGGGGAGCATGGCTACTCAGCTTGAGTTGTTTGGGACCCAGACTACTAGACTGTGGTTCTTGAGTGACTGCCCCTCTCATTGGCCTGGGCTACCTGGGTGTGGCTTTCCAGAGTTGCAGGGACAAAGGAGCTGGAGGCTGGGTGCCCTGCTTGGATAAGCTGGCAGACTGGCTAAGAGCTTAGTGAAAAGTCAGCAATTTAGATGGAAGAATGTGTCTTTGGGATGCTGGCTCAGTTGATAGAGTTCTCACCCAGTATGCATGAAGCCTTGGGTCCAAGCACCACAACTCCATAAACCAAGCACGGTGGTGCCTTCCCATAATCCCAGAACTCAGGAGATTGTGGCAGGACAAGAAGTTCAAGACAATCTTTGACTGCAGAGGGACTTAGGGGCTAGCCTGAGCTACATGAGACAATGCCTTTAAAAAGAAAAGTGTGTGTGTGTGTGTGTGTGTATGTGTGTGTGTTTTGTTGTTGCTGTTTGTTTTGCTTCAGTCTTAAGTCTTAGGTAAAAAAGTCAGAAGTGATCAGTATTAGAGTCATTTGGTCTGGCTCCCTTCTTCCTTCCTCCGTTGGATGCATTAGGTCTGATCTAGATACTAGACCACTAAAGGTCACTTGTCCACCTTTCTGGGTCATTTTGAGCTGTGCATTGGAAGGTGACAGAAAACAGAAGGGAAGGCATTGGGGGCAGAGGTGGCTCTCTCTGTGAGTGACAACAGTAACTCTGAAAGCACCAGTAACCCCGGACTTTAGATTCTGTGGCTTTCTTACACATGCAAACCTATAATAAAACTCAATTTATGTGTTGGGCACATAAGAGATTAACAACTAATAATAAAAGAGACAATGGAGTGTAATAAAAGTTATGGGAACATGCCTTTCTCTCCCTCCCTCAAAATGCCTTACTATTCCATGCTGATGGAATTGGAGTGGACAGTAACAGGGTCCTAGACAAGGAGAGGCCGTGGGCTGTGCAGAAACATAGAGGCTTAAAACCCCAGGGGAAGTCCATGGCAGAAAACGATCTGATGGGCCTCAAATCCAGGGCTTGCTGCCTGGAAGAACACGTGACTGTGCTCCTGCTGCTGCTTGGCTAAGGGTCCAGCTGTTCTTCATGGTCCTAAACTTACTTACAGGACAGTCTGGGAACTTCTCTCTTCTTTTTGTGACTAGTGATAGAATCTAGAGTCACACTGACTCGTGTTAAGCAAGTGCTCATCCCTTCTCAGCCATCTTTTGTGAGGGGGGGTGGTTATTGTGATTTCACTTACACATTGTAGTCCATCACCAAAGGAAGTCAGGACATGAACTCAAATAGGACAGAAACCTGGAGGCAGGGGCTGATGCAGAGATCGTGGAGGAGTGCTGCTTACTGGCTTGCTTGTCCTGACTTGCTAAGCCTGTTTCTTATAGATCCTACGACCACTAGCCCAGGGATGGGACCACTCACAATGGGCTGGATTCTCCCCCATCAAACAGTAATTAAGAAAATGCCCTACGTGCTGTTCCACAGCCTGATCTTATGCAGTCAGCCATCTTTTTACATTTTATTTGGAGACAAGTTTCCCAAGCTGGCTTTGAACTTGTGATCCTCCCACCTTAGCCTCCTGAGCAGCTGGGATTAGATGCCTAGAGATGAGATTCATGGTGAATCTTTAGGGGAAGGATCCGCTGACCTTTGTTATCTGACTTGGCTAGTGATTGGTCATCCAGCCTCCTGTTTCCTCATTTTGTGAACTTGAACCCTGGGACCTGCAGGTTATTCTGACTCCTTTGGGTGTCTGGGTGTCTGCTGATACCCTTTAGCAATGCTTGTTCAGGACACTGGAAAGCTCCAAGCTCTTTTGTCTGTTTGTTTAATGGTTTTCCTATGGGATAGGGAATCTAAGTCTCCTTGCATCTGCTGGGGAACCCTCTACACCAGAGGCTCTAAGTGACTCGGAAAAATCACTCAGTTATTTTACCTGGAAAAGCAGTGTCCCGCTTACATGGTGATCATTTTCCCAGCAGGGACATCCAAGGGAGATGTTCAAGGTCACAGGGTTTCTGTCTCCTGGGACATGCTTTCATGGACAGGCAGGAGGGAAGTTCCAAATCGGGGCAATGGGCAGGAGGAGGCCGGGGGCGGAGTCTTGAAATGTCATCTTTACTGCCCTAGAAGGTTATGAAAATGAAATGGTTTAATGACTTTAAAGGGCTCATAATGGTCTTGACAAGTGGTAGACGATCGAGTGATGACATTAACACAGTAATAATATTAATGTGGGCATTTGATTAGCATATGCATAACCCAGATGCTCTCATCAAAATATACATTCGTACTCCAGTGTAAATGTCTGATGAAATACCATAACACAGACCTCAAATATTGAACAACAGATGGTTAAACTAAAGACGCAAATTCCCGAGGTTGGAGTTTTGAGAATCAGTAAAACGGAATGACTAAGAAAGGATTCTGGAATTAGTTAAATCTGAGACAAAATTCCAGCTCTGCACTTTCTCCTGGAATGCATGACAGTGGGCCAGATTCCTACTCTGCCATGCCTTGTAGCACCACTGTGTGCCTTTGAGAAGCAAGTTAAGGGGGGGAGTGTCTGGCACATAGTAGGGCCCCTGGTGAACAAAATCTGGAGTGAGATAAGTTGGAAAAAGCCTCTCTTGGGGTCCTGAACTTCACCTGCAGTGGTCCTGGCTTCAGCTATGTTCAGCCTATAAAACCAGTGAGTACCTACTATGTGCTGGTAGAGATAAAGCCACCTACTCACTCTGCTTAGCCAGGTGACTCCACAGTTTCTGTTCTTCATGGTGAGTTCCCCTGGTTGTTAGGTGTCTCATGAACACAAAAATGAAGAAGACCTCTTGGTTAGGTGTAGGAGGAAACCGTGTGCTGCCATTAGCCATGTGACTTATTAGAGGTGCATACAGATGAGGTAATAAAAGAGTGGTTTACCACACCGATAACCACACCCACTTTAGGCATGACTAAAGACGTATACGGACGTAGGCAGTGAACTACGTCACTAGCCAGGCCCACTTTTGGGCATGGCTAAGGGGCGTTACGGGGGAAGGTATAAAAGACTGAACAACGGACGCCTCGGTCTCTTTTTCCAGCCTTTGGCTTCCAGTTCGGCGGTGGAAAACTACTCGGCTCATCTGGGATACTTGTTTGGTTCTTGTGAGTAATTTCTACAATAAATACTTAGTTTTACTTTCAGTAAGTGTGCCGTTTATCGTTGCAGCATAGTTAGGGGATCTTGTGTCTTATAAAACTCTGGACCATTGAGAGAGGGTTGCAGAGGGCAGCATTCCAGACTTGGTTATCACAGGACCCTCAGGGGTGGAGGCCGTTGGGGTCTGGAGAAGGCACTGTAATTCACCTGTCCCCAGCAACTCTGTGCCAATGCACCATCTCCTGCCTTGTTGGCCCCATAGCCCCTTCCCAGTGGGTAGAATGATTACCCTATATCTGTGTCCCTCAGTTGGTCCACACTCTGCCCCCTGTGAGCTTCTGGGGACATCCTCCTCCTCTTCTGTCTCTTCCTCCAGCAATGTCCTATTAGCCTGCTCTGGGATTGGGACCTGTCTCGGGCACTCCTGGCCTTGCCATTTTCCCATTGTACATAACAGCTGTCTGCTACTTGTGAGCACCTGCATAAGGTGGGAACCTCTTCGGTGGGCAGAGGGACTACATCATCACTAGTCAGACACTTAGACAATAAGTCTGTGCGGCTGTCCTCCTGTGACAAGAGAACGACAATGGTGGCCCTCGTGGTTGCCACGGTGGGGAGGAAAGTAGCCTTTGCCACTCTCTGCAGCTTATGAAGGAGGAGGCGGGGTGGGGGGCGGGGGAGGGGAGGGCTTACAGCAGAGCCAGGTTGAGAAGGGAATGGGGGATGGGCTCACCCCTCAGTCTCAGCTTTCTTCTCTACAATATGGGATATGATGCTTCTACATTGGAGGCTTCTGCTGCCCTCAGTCTGAAGCCATGTGGCCACAGGAGCCGACTCAAGCACCTACAAAATGAGCCTTGCCCTCAGCTCATAGACCTGCATCTGAGACTCACTGACTGCCCTCAAGTCAGAGTGGGCAGATTCCTGGCAGCATAGATGGACTTCTAAATGAGGAAAGAGGGTCCCAGAGAGGCCCAGGGCTCACCCAAGAGTTCACAGCTAGGAGGCCCAGGTGCCTACGAGGTAAGGTGCCAGGTTTTCCGACTCTCCACACGACAGCCTGCATTCCTTCAGCTGAGCCACAGGGCATCTTGGTCAACTTGGAAAGCCTCGGGGGACTGTCGAAATCCACACACAGATATCGAGACGGGATGTCCCACTGTGTATGACGACATTAATAGACTCTGCTTTTCAAATGCCAAGTAATTTCTTTGTCAATGAGCTATCAGGTGACATTTTAATTGGAAAGAAGAGTTGAGGGTCAGCAAAATGACTCAATGGACAAAGGAGCTTGCTGCCAAGCCTGATGACCTAAGTTTGATCCCCAGAACCCATGGGTGAATGGAGAAATTCAGACTAACCACTGGGAGGGAGGACATCAGGGCTTAATTCTTGATTCATGGAGGAATGTAGGGGCATTTGTTACAAGGATGACATTTTTTCTTAATTTGAATGGTCAAGTAATTATTTGTAACGCACCAGGTGCTTCAACACCATATTTTGCCTGTGGTTGAAGGTGTGAGGGACACTGGCTTCTAGCTGCAGGTGTCTGGGCTCTTTGCCCTGGCTGAATCTAGAGTAGAAACTTGTTAGATCTTGAGCTTGTGAGGGAGAATGAAGAGAAGCTGAGCTCTCAGGGCCTCTATGGGCCCACATCCCAGCTAGAGCTTGGAGGAAACCCTCAGAGATTGGGGTGGCATCTATTACCCCTTAGCTGCATGACCTTGGGAGAGCCACCTTGTCCCCTGGTGTTCATCTGTCCAGTAGAAGAGACAAAGGTAGCCGGGTGGTGGTGCCTGCTTTTAATCCCAGCACTTGGGAGGCAGAGGCAGGCAGATCTCTGTGAGTTCAAGGCCAGCCTGGTTCCAGGACAGCCTCCAAAGTTACACAGAGAAACCAAGTGTCCAAAAAAAGGAGAAGGAGGAGGAGGAAATGGGAAAAGAAGAAGGAAGAGGAGGAGGAGGAGGAGGAGAAGACAATGGCATCATTGGGGAGGTGCGACAGGGATGGAATGAGGTAAAACTTAGAGTCACTTACAGGGACAAATGGGACTGTGGCCACTGTCATTATCATTACCTCATTTAATGACATCCCCTAAAGTGGGGATTTCAGCAGACCCTACATTCACCCCCTAATGCCTTAACCTATCAAAGGAGGATGGTCACACCACTCCTTTCTCAGTCTGGGGCCCAGTAGCTCAGGTTTACTCATGAGCCTTCTCTTGGTGCCATGAGAGACAGCTAGGCTTGTTGGTCCTGCAGAAGGGTCCTTATTGCCAGCATATCTCAGCCTAGAGTGCCCTCATCACACCCATGCCATCCGACCCAGGCTTCCCGTTACATCCCTGCTGTGGATTAGGAACACAGATTCACCACTTAGAGAAGCTGCACTGGGGAAGAGGGAGCCCTCTGGGCCCATGGCCCTGCCTGTGGGTGACCATGAGGAAGGTGCTGACCTGAAGCCACTCAGGCCGCCTGGCCCCACCCCTTCCTCCTTGCTGTCCCTAGTGTCTTGGAGAAGATGGAGACTCCTGAATGAGGTTAGGAATTCTGCCACTGCTCAATGAGCTAACGATGAAATTGGAGACGCATGGGCGGGAGGCTTGGTGAATGATCACAGAAAATGCTGAGAGGTGCACCCTGGAGATGAGCCCAGCCCTCTTGGAAGGGCAGGATGAATGGGAGCTCAGCCTGTTCTGTGGCATCTGGAGGCGAGGGTACTCCAGCTCCCGGACAGACCTGGGCTCACATCCCAGCAGTGCCCCCTTGCCTAGCCCCACTGAGAAGCACCAGGTGGCTGGTTACCTCAGGAGTCCCTGAAGCAAAGTTGACAGGCGCAGAAAACGCCTGGTGCTTCCTCCGAAGGGCTGAGTGAACCTCTTCCTGTCTCTCGGGTATGGGGTCCCAATCCTGCAGCTGTCTGTACTGTCCAAAGGGAGAAGAGTTCCAATTGGCAGCAGAAGCTGCAGTATGCGAGGTCATGGGGTCCCTGACAGCGCTTCCCAGGATGACAGTTCACCTGCTCAGGATGGCCATGCTCAGGGACTTTCCCGCTGGGTCCTCTGCTGTCTCTGCACACAGAGGTAGGGTTGGGCTCACATACACACAAAGCATGCTTGGTTTGGTTTTGCGGTGTTGAGGGTGGAGTCCAGGGCCTGGAATACGCTGCATAAGTGCTCTACCACTGAGCCACACCGCCAGACCCACCCTGATCACTTCAAATTTTTAAACGGCAACCTCTCACGAAACTGTCTTCTCTTCCTCTTTGGGTACAGTCTCCAGGCATTGTTATTTGAGGGGACATGCCTGCTCTCAGGTACATGACCTAAACTCAACTTACAAGACTCTTAGTCTTGGACGTCAAGTTCAGAGCAGAAAGAGAATGAATTTGCTCCCTTAAAACAGGGGGCAGAAACAGGACTACCACCCAGCCCTGACAAGGTAGTTGGCATCTCTGGCCTATGCAATACCCTAGACTCCCATTCTGCTTTCGCATCAGCATATTTCTTGTAAGTGCCACGCCAAACCAGCCCCGGTGGATACCCCTTTTTTTGTGATCCAGTGCCCTTCCTGGGGACCCATTCTCTGCAGTGGGAGCCCGATGTTCCTTGCGTGTGATGTGCTGTGACAGACACTGAGAACAGGTCTCATGCAGAAGACTGTCCTTTGTCTACAATGCCTGTCCTCTCGGACAGTCCTGTGGCATCCAGGAAAGGTAATCTTAGCTTGAGAGCCCCATGTTGTCAACAGACTCTCATTCCTTTTTTTTTTTTTTTTCGAGACAGGGTTTCTCTGTATTGTTTTGGAGGCTGTCTTGGAACTCGCTTGGTAGACCAGACTGGCCTAGAACTCACAGGGATCCACCTGCCTCTGCCTCATGAGTGCTGGGATTAAAGGTATGCGCCACCAACGCCCAACTTAGACTCTTATTCTTACCTGACAGATACTTATATTCAGCCAGAGCATACTCAGCAGCTGGTGCAAACCAGCCACAGAGCAGCGGTAGCAGGGTGGGCAGCTTGGTGGCCTGTGAGAGCAGAAAGCATCACCTCATCATGTCTGGGCCACATTCCTTGTCCTGAAGTTCTGTGTGTGGGTCTTGGCCAGGGACTGCAGGACTCATTGTCCCTCCAACAATAGCATCCTCAACAGCGTTGTCAGGAGATACAGTTGTGAGGGCTCTGAGCGACTGCTATGCGCCTGGTCTCTAGATGGAAGTCATGGTGGCATCTGTTGTCATAACTCATTGGTCTCAGCATTCTTAGAGGAGGCATGAGACTGTTGTCCAGACCAGTAAGCTGAAACACAGGGATGTAGCTAGGAAAATACAGAAAGGGCTTGGACTCTGCTTGGTACCTGTCATTCAAGAACACTCCAGACATTTCTCCTGGGTCATTGCAGGGAGACACAGAAAGATCAGATTCCCCCAGAACCAGCCCTGTCTGATTTACACAGGGACTGCACCCTCATGTTGATATGGCTTTGACCTTGTTCCATATGACATATCACAGCTATTTACACCGGTGAAGACTTTATCCCTTTCCTAGGTCATGCCAGGACCCTTGGGGACAATTGGGATAGCCACATGAATGCTGGCTATATATTAACAATGCCAAATTCCTAACTCCAGACCTCCCTGGCTGTCACACAGATTGGCATCTACAGCACCCCTTCCATGCTCCAACGGCTGGAAGATCCCCTGACTCTATTGCATTATCCCACACTCTTGGGCTAATGCAATGCAGAGCCGATCTGAGTGGGCCAAGGATACCCATTCGCCAGCTCAGTCTATGACTCCCATGCCACTCAGGTTTAGAGCCCCAGACTCACAGTGGTCTCCTGGGCCTCCAGGCTTGGAATGCTGGCACGCTGTCAATCTTCTTGGTGACCCCTGTGCCATCGGACTGTGAAGCTGTCTGAGGGCAGAGGCAGGGCTTCCCCCGTGTGTTGAGCTGGCCCAGACAGTGTTGCTGAGTGGGACAAGTGTGACAGGAGCCAGAAGAGAACAAAGGCATGCTGAAGACCCTTTCAAGGTCACCGGCTGGCGGGGAATGAGCACTGTCATATTGTTTGATCATTTATTTATACTCTATTTTCAAGCAGGACTCGAAGCGCCCGAGATGAAAGGCAGAGAAACAGCGGAAACAAAAGCTCATGCCTTAAGTTCTGCCATTTCCTCGCAGCGCTTCCTCCTGTCCTGAAAGACTGTTTTCTGAGTCAAGGTTCTGGGGTCTTCCTGTGGTTTCACTCTCCATGCAGTCGTGCTTTCTAGCCGGGTCTCCATGAGACCAGAACATGCCCCCTAGTGCAAGCTTCTGAATTATGCCTCTCCTTCTCACGGCAGCAGCCAGGGTCCTGGCTACGCTTGGATCATGAGGTATGATGCATCTCTCAGACCTATTCACCTGTGCTTAGGGAGTGAGAACCAGGCCGTCCAGTGACTCTGAGCATCATCCGACACTGTGGGATTATACTACAATCAAAGCCGTGTGGCTGTGTTGAGAATTCTGCAGCCTGGGTGCCCATGGCATGGGTGGGCATACAGTATATCCCCTCTTACATTTTTGTGTGTGTGTGGGGGTCAGGACAAGCCTGCTATTGGCTGGCTAATGCAGGAGGTGAGGTGAAACTGGACGGAGATGGGACCAGGTCCCATCAGTAACCATGCTCCTAAGGGTCTCAACGTTGGCCACTGGGACAACAGCATGGCTGGATCCTTCTCTTCCTGAGAGCTGCTTACTTTCTGTCTGCTCCTGGAGACTGTGCTAGAGTGCAGCATGCATCGATCATACCTGTCACCTCTGCCAACTGTGAGATAGTGGGCATGGTGCTTTCCTGGGGCGTCCCCTCTGATTTTATTCATGTAAGTACTGTGTGCTAACTGATTGCTCCTCTAGAGCTTCCTTCCTCAAAGACAAGCAAGATACGAAGTCACCAAGCACCTTGTGATGGTTGGCTTTATTGTCAACTTACCCAGAATCATGTGGGAAGATTAGTGAGGGATTGTCCTCCTTGGGTTGGCCTGGGGGCATGTCTACGGAGGTCTGCCTTTAATTGATGTGGAGAGACCCAGTCCACGGTGGGCAGCACCACTCCCTAGGCTTGGATTCTGGGCTGCTTAGAGAAATCAAGCTGAGAACAAGCACATAGGCATCAATTTCTTTCTGTTCTTGACTCCGGATATGAAGTGACTGTTTAAAGTCACTGCCTTGGTTTCCTGTTACGGTGGAGTGCAACCTGGTATTGTGAGCTAAAGCAGATCTTTTCCCTCCTAAGTGGCTTTTTCTCAGGGTATTTTATAACAGCAACAGGAATTAGAACTAGAAATGCATACGGTGTGCCAGAGTCTCCTTCCTGCTCTGTAGTCACAATTCTCACATTTCCTAGACGGCGACTGGTGCCGTTCCCTCTCTTGCTTAGGAGGCCAGGCTTGGGGAGGTGGCTTAGTTGGTAAAGTGTTTTGCCTTGCAAACACGAGGACCCTAGTTCAGCCCCTAGAACTCATGGTGGGCACAGGAGCTGGGGGATGACTCAGCCTGAAAAGCACTTGCCATGCAAGCGTGAAGACTGAAGTTCAGATCCTCAGTACCCATGCAAACAGCCAGATGTGGCATGGCAGCACTGCTCCTGCAACCCCAGCACTGCAGGGGTGGAGACAGGCAGGGCTCCGGAGCTCACTGGCCAGTTTGTCCAGCAAATCAGCGAGCTCCAGGTTCAGTGAGAGATCTCGCTTCAAAGAATAAGATGGAGAGTGACTGAGAAATGCTCCTAATGTCAATTTATGGCTTCGACACACATACAAGCATACGTGAACACAAAGCTGGGCAAGGGGCATGTGGAGACAGGAGGAGGTGGGCTCTCAGCTCAGCAACCTTAGACTAATCAGTGATGGCCAGGTCCCAATAAGAGGCCGCCTCTCAGGGGAAAAGTGGTTGGCTCCCAAGGAAGGATACCTGAGGGTCACCTCTGTTTCCATATAGGTACATGTGCTCATCTCCACACACATTCACACACACACACACACACACACACACGTGCACGCAAGCACGCACACAGTATTAAAAGAAACCCACGTTCAATAGCCATAGCATGCAGTAAACGCCTGTAACCTTAGCAGTTGGAAGGTAGAAGCAGGAAGATCAGAAGTTTAAGACCTTCAGCTACATCATGGGTTCAAGGCCACCCTGGGCTACATGGAACCCTGTATCACAAAACAAACAAAAACCCAGAATCCAGGAAACTTGAGACTGAAAATTCCTTGAGAGAACAAGGAGAAAAGTCCAAAGACAGTGGGCTCCTGCAGTCCAGCTCCTGTCCAAGCAATGACTTGACCCACGTCCTCACTCTCCTAAGGGACACATGATGGGCATAAGTGAGGCAGGAACTTCAAACAGAGCCCAGCAGTCTTGCATACTACCCTTCTGTCTCTGGAGGACATGGCTGGACAAGTTAGAAGGCTATGCAAACAGAGGAAGCCAGTGCTGGCTGCATTTTGGTTGCTGTCATCCCTGGCTGAGACACTCTTCTGGGGTCCTCCTCCCCATTCACACCTACCTCATGACAGCAGCTGCAAGGATGTGATTAGACACAAAAATCACATCACAACCCCTTCTTTGTAGAGACCCTTTGGGGTTCCCATGCTTGGTACACTGGGCGGCCTGGATCTGACCATCTCTAGCCCCTGGCCTGTAGCACTCTCTCTTCAGGCCCCTGAAATGAGCCCCATGTGTTTTCCTGCCCCAGGACATTTGCATGTGCTCTGTTATCTACATGAAGTGAAAGCATATTCTTCTCCTGCCTTTTCCTGAATGACACCTATTTCTTCCTCCATAGATGCCATGGAAACACCATTCTTTCAGAGATGTGCCTTCCTGCCTCCTGGACCTCCTGGATTTAAACTGGTTCCATTCTCCCCGAAAAGTCTGTGTCCTTCACTCTGTCCAGTTTGTCATTGTGTTTTCTCTGGTTTGTTTCTTCACGTCCCATATTCCACAGACACAGGCGCCACGTCTGCTCTGTTCTTCCTGCCCCTTAGAGCTCTGAGCCTGGCATGAAGACTTCTCGGCACCTTCGGTTGGAAGCCGGTAGTGTTTGCAGCTCTCTGCTGGGTGTTTCATGCATCCCCGGTCAGTTCTGCGCTAGAAAGACACCCAGGACTGTCCCCACCTTTGGATACAGTGCTAGGCTATAGCTAGCTGTAGGGATCTGCACATACACCAGGGTTCATTTAACCCTCATGGAATTCAGGCCTCCGTTTCCTCTGTTGTGAGATGGGATTTCCTAAGACGGGAAGGTTGGAAGAGGTTAAAGTAGCCATTCTTTTCTCTTTTGCCTGTGACCCTTCTCTGGGCAATAGCCCCACCCCCTTCTAAACAAGGACTCCCGAGGACCAGAGATGTTAAGTTTGTCTGAGAACACAGAGCAGAGCTGGGTCCAAGATGAGGGTCTTGCATCTTATAAGTGATGAGATTGTCCCTGCCACCTGCCAGACGTGGCACAGGGAACTCAGACCCAGAGGGTCAGGGGAAGGGAGCCCCACCCCCACCTCCATCCCCACCCCAGAAGAGCAGTTGGTCCGTTTCTCCTGCCCAGTGCTTCCTAATCTTCTGGAGCATCCTCCCCGAGGGCAACAGCAACTGCCTCGACAGAGCTGAGCCCCACATGACAGGCTTTCCCACACCAAGACCCTTGGGGGACCCCACACAGAAACTGACCTATATTAATTTCAAGTGCTATTTGCAGTCTTGGTCCCTTCCCACCCAGCACTTAACCCCACCCTGCACAAACTCACAAACACGTTGATCAGCCCAAGGACCTTGTAAAAATAAAATGATCTGACCCCGGCCATCTCGGAGTCTCTGCCTTCTGGTGCTGCTGCGTTGAGGCAGGGGGATAGCAATCACAGCCCAGCCCACTTTGAGGAAGGGATGCCATCCTCCTGGAAGGAGATGAGAAGGAGGCAGCATTTAAAACGGGTGCAGGGAGCTGATGGGTGTGATGAGCTAGGGACCCAGGAGAGGGCAACAGGAGGAAGAGAGGATTAATGAAGTCCCCCTGGGGGCAGCTCACCCGGGAGGGAACAAATTGCTAGAAAGAATGGAGAATGAAGACAGAGAAGGGAAAATCCTGGGGAGAGTGTGCTGGACAGGGAGGGGTGACGTGGGGGTGTCACAGACTGGCCACGAGAGCAGATGGAAGGACCCACAGCTAATATGACTAGGTTTTGTTTGGAGAAGAGGTGGGGGTAAGTGCCCCAGGGAAGAGTTAGGTGGGAGAGTCAGCTGTCAGACAGAAAGTGGAGGCCTGACCCTAATGCGGCTTTCAAATCAAGTGGAAGCCAAAAGCTGACACTCGAGGCTGTCCTACGGCCTTCGCATGTGAGCTACCGCACGAGTGTATGTCCAGAAACACACAAAGAAGAGCAGGACACAGGTCCGCATGGTGGGAGGCCAGTAAAGATGCAGGAAGAAGATGCCTTCGCAAGCCAAGGATGGGCTGGGAAGAAATCATTTACCTGACTTTGAACCCCAGGACCGCAGGGAAGGGACCTCTGCTCTGAAGCCTGGTAGGCTGTGGAGGTCTTGTGGCCACCCTCATAGACTGCCATCAGTCCCTCATGTGAAATGCACCCATCTCTTCCCCCAGGCCTGTCTTTATCTTGTCATCTAAGTCAGGCGTGGGCATGGTCACACCACGGAGTTCCTGGGTAGACAAGAGACAGCTCTATCGTCTAACAGAAAGGGCCTCCAAATATAAGGGCCTCCAATATATGTTTAGATGGTTCCCTGTCTTTTTGGAAGCATCTAGAAGGCACTGCTTTGAATCTCGGTGACATCTTAACAAAAGGATTCACGGGCACACCGTTGGTTAAACTGTCTTCCTGGTAGGGACCCTGACTTTGAGCTTCGCCCAGAAACCACTTGTCATTTTGAGAACTGTTGTCAAGCAGAGTCTGGGAATAGGAGATGTCCAAACCCAACTCATTTGGTTTATCTATAGTCACTAGTTTGTTCACTGGCTTCTCTTATTGACAGAGCCAGGATCCGAACTCTAGGCAGCCACCTCAAACCTTGTGCTCTGGCGTGGAGACCCTGTTGCTCATGCACCACAGAGCAGAGGGGAAGGTGGGTTGAAGCAGGGGAGACAGCAAGGAGCTTGCCAGGCACTGGGTTGGCTCTTGGCTGGAGGTTCAGAGATAGAGGGAAACGTGAGGTTCTAGGAGCACCAGCCCACTGTGCTGCCCCCTTCCCCTTGCTCTGTCACTAAGCACTTAGTTCCTAGCTTCTATTTCCTGGTGACCACTTTTATACCCCCTATGCAGGGCAAACGTTACACTCTACTCTCCTGCCAGCTGGAGCAACGGTTCTGTCTTCCCTCGGAAGGTCCTTCCACATCATGAGTTCAGTGTGAATTCTAGCTCTTCTGTGAAGCCTTCCCTACAAGTTACTACTCCTGCTTGGGAGGGTCTGAACACAGGATTCTCTCACTTGAAGTACAACTGAGGGGAAGCTGGCTAAGGTGAGGCTGGTGGATATCACTTGAAGTTGTGTGGCCCCCAGGTTCCTCCCACCCAAGGTTCTGTCAGCTTCTAGGATGGAGGTTTGCAACCCGTGATGATTTTTTTTGTGAATAAAGTTTTATTGAGACACAGTCATGTCATTCAGTTACATTTTGTCAAAGAGTGTTTTAGCACAGCATAGCAAGGTTGACTGGCTATGACAGAGACTGTATGTTTCAGAAAGCTTGAAAAAAACATTTGCTGTCCCTTCTGTGGCTCTGCAGGCCAGTGAAGAGGAAGTGTGAAAGACTGTGGGAAGAAGCCTGTGGGTTGGACAGGACGTGCTGCTTCTAACTTCCTCTCATAGCCCATTGATCGTGGCTGGTTGCAGGACCCTAACGTACGGCAAGGATGTTGGGAAATGTAGTCTTTCCCAGACAGATCAGGGAGCAGCCTGATGCACAGCCTGTCATGTCCACACAGCTCTTCCTGGACCTTTCTTTCTGGTCTGTGCACAGGGAAATGAAAACGGTTCCACTCCTCTCACCTGCAAACGTAGACTACAATGTGGCGGGCTCATGCTTCCACAGTCCTCTTATTGGGAGGCAAATTCTTCAGATCGCTTGCCCCCTGGCAACTCGTTGAGTGTCCCCAGTTGCCTACAGCGATGGCTCAGACTCACTGGCTCCCCTCCTCTCCATTTCATACCTCTATACTACCTCTGAGATCACCTCCCAAAACAAAGACTGCCCCTGAGTGTCTATTTGGGGGGATGTCGCCAAAGAACCCAAAAGAAGACACTGCTGATCGTGTATTAAATAGGCAGGGAGACCAAGGCATGAAGAAATTAACACAGGTATTGAAGAAAAGGATAGCAAATGGTCTTTGAAACTAAAACATAGAGAGAGAGAGAGAAAGAGAGAGAGAGATGTCTAAACTGTATGGGCAGGGCCACCATGACCAGTTAGGAAGTCTTTGATGGTCATTTAAGGGGTCATCAGGTCAGTGGCCACTAATTCATGCTGGGAACCCTGTCTGGCTTCGGAAGCTCTATTCTCTGCACCCCACCTGTGAATACTTCTTGCTAAGGACACACACCCGATCTGCTTCACATATTTCCCCACACCCTGTCCCCACTAAAGCCTCCCTCACTCCGTCTCAGCCTCTGTTGGGGAGGATCTGTCCAGGAGCTGGCATGGCTGCAGCCTGGCCAGGGTCGGCAGCTTCAGCGGGAGTCAGCTGGGCCCTAGAGGCAGCACGTGGCTGGCCGGGCGCTGCTGTTTCTGCCCCAGTGCCCTGCGCTGCCCGCTCCGCCTGAGCAGATGGTCTTGTAAGTGAGCGCTATGTGAATGGGGTCAGGAGGGTTTGCCGGCTCCACCTTCTCCTCTGTCTCCACCGGGCTCCATTGTCCTTGCCTCCCACCCTGTGTGAGTTCAGCTGGCCAGGCTGCAGGGCCTGGCTAGGCACGGTGTGGCACAGCCCTGGAATCCAGAGCTCTGCATGGCAGCAGACTGGAGGCCGGGAGGATGGCCGAGTGGCTGACCACTGTGGATGGAGTGGCTGCTGATCTTAAAGGTGAGAGCCCCACTGGGTGTCTGGGAGATGGTGAGAGTCCCACTGGGTGTCTGGGAGATGGGTGGAAGCCCTGGGAAAATGAGGGTATCTGCTGCAAGATGTGGGCAGGGCTCCAAAGTACCCCATCCCCCGCAGGTGTAGCTAGAGCACCCCACTGCGCGCTCCAACTACAGCTCCTCGGTGGCTCCCACCACACTTCTGCAAAAGCCCGCACTGGGGATGGGGTTTCTCTTCTGCCTTCACCAGGAACTCTGACTTTTCATAAGGTACAGCTCTTCTCTACCCCAGGACCTTTGAATGCATTACTCCCTCTGTCTGAGCCAACAAAGCCTCCTCCTGTCAAAGAATTCTCCTGTACCTTTCTACAGAGAGACCCTGGCTGACAGCTTCCTCCCCAAGGGGATGCTCTAGAAGAGCCCACACAAGAGATCTGGGGTTCCTCTAAGAGTCTGGCATTTTCTTTCTAGGAGTTTCTACCATTTGGTTACAATAATATCTGTTAACTTTATTATCTCTGCCACACCAGAATGCATTGCCACAGAGAAGGGCAAAGGGCCATGCCTGTCCTATGTGCCTAGAAGCCCATGTAGACGTACTTCAGGGCTGGGCCCCCCAAGCTGCTTATCAGACTCTGCCTATCTGCCTGTCCACATGAAGAATCCAAAGCTGTTGAATTCCAGGGACTCTGGGGGAGTTTGGCCAATCTTGTCAATACTGGCTGGGGCTGACTGAACTCAAGACTCCAGTTCTCCAGCCTGGTCGCTCCCTAGCCTTCTGGGACCATGGGGGCCACTCTTCCCCTTACATCACTTGCAGGACTCTGGGCCTCCTTGCTCCTAGTGAAAGGTGGGGGCTTCCCTTGTGTTATTCAGGAAGAGAGTAAGAGCAGCCATGTTGATTGGTGGTTGTGCCTCTGGGGTTAGGCATTCTGTCGGGACCACTGCGTTGTGAGGCAGGTGATCTGGGGGCCTTGGGGCAGGCAGTAGCTCCAGGCCCCTTTGGTGAGGTATCTGCCTGGCATGTGTTCTATTCTGTGAAGTTGGGTGTAAAACACCCACGTGGTGGGTGTAAGGAGCCAGACAGATGTCCCTCTTGTTCGTCAGTCCTGATGTCTTCTCTCTCCATCTTCAAACGGTTGCTGTTTTAAAACTGAGATCTGGGGTCTGCTTTTGTATAACTGGATCCTTGTTCATGAAACTTGCCCTTTGTTTACAATTTTTTTTTAACCTGGCTCTCACTATGTAGGTAACCTCGTAAATGCCGAGATTATAGGCATTGGCCTGCACGGTGGGCTTGGAATCTTCTTTTTTTGTACCAGCATGAAGCTCCCAGGATCCGGACTCTGTGTGCTATTAAATCAATGCTTAGTGTGCTCACTGCAGTCCTGGGGGAGGAGCGCCGGCCGGGTCTTACACACACTAGGCAAGCTGTCCGCCCTTGAGCGGCGGCCCCAAGCCTGCTGCTGGTTTGAGTGCATGGGGCTGCAGGTGCACCTGTGTGCTGCTGTGTGGAGGCTGCAGGTCATGCCCGGCTGCGCTCCCTGTGGATGACACTATTGAGACTGCACCTCACTGACCTGCAACTGACTGACTGGGCTGGCTGGTCAGGAGTCCGCCCGTCTCGACCTCTCAGGTGATAGGATTACAAGGGCAGTCCACCATGCGTCGGTTTTTCTTTTCTCCTTCCTCTCCTTCGATTCTGGGCACCTAAGTCAGGTCCTCATGCTCGCAGGCAAGCACTTCACCATCTGAGTCATCTCCCCAGCTTCTGCCCCCAGTCCCCTCACAAACACGTTCTAACACATGACCCCCAGGAGCTCTGGACTTGGTGCCACTTGCTTAGTGTGACTCTCAGCGGGAGCCACTGTGGGCACGGCTCTGTCCACTGCAGCAGTGCGCAGCTTTAACCTCCCAGGGGCTTGTCTGGGTGCCCGTGCACAACACACACATGTGCCTGCACAGACCAGGAGGGTGTGTCCGAGGCTGGCAGAGTATCCTGGCACATACTCCTCACCGACAGAAGACAGCCAGCCTAGCCCAGGCTACCGCACCAGAGACAACCTGCTCTTCGTTCTCTGTGTGCAGAGGTCTCAAACATACCTGTCCTCGTGTTTGAAATAGAGCTTAGTTCATAAAGCCAGAGAGAGGAGGAGGAGGGAAGAGCAGGGAAGGAAGGAGGAGGAAAACTGGGAGGAGAAGGTGGCAGCCATGGCAGGCCGGCAGGCACAAAGAGCAGGCTTGACCTCTGGGATCGTCTGTGGTCAGTTCCCACAGCTCCCAGATCTCCCTTCTAGGCTGTGAGGCAACGCACGGGAACCGGGCAGCCATCAGTGCAGGGCTGTGCAATTCGGGTGTCCGCCATGGCGGCTGTGGCCGGCAGCTCTCCCTTCTGGAGAAGCAGCTAATTAGAATGGATTGACGTCTCCTCCGCTCAGGCTCTGTTCTCAGTCCCCACTGGATCTCTGCTTTAGGATTTAGTCAGGCACAGTTGCCAGGCGGCTGTACCTTGCTGTTTAGTCAGGTTGGCTTGTGTCTGGGGACTCCCCTGGGCCACTCAGCCCAGGACCCCTCTTTCTCTGCATGTTCATCCTTCCCCTCAATTTCCTGTCATTAGCAAGTGCAGGCTGACCAGGGTGCTGCCCCCTGCTTCTGGGAGTGTGAATCAGTGCTGGTCCCCTGGAGGACAACTTGTCACATGCTATTAAAAGCTTAAAAGACAGGCAGGCTTTGACCTGGAAAGTCCCTTCTAGGAATCTGTTCTGTAGACAACACTGGACAGGGGTCTTGCTGCTGTGTGCCAAGGGGCATTGCCTGAATGCTTTGTAAAAGTGACAATCTAGTGATACCAGTGGAGGATTACTGGGAAGGGTCAAGAAAAGAGCGAACTGGAAGGGGAACTTGGAGGTCACAGGGAATGCGGACTTTGGGACAGATGTGCTCAAGGAATCATGGCTGATTTCATCAGTGATATTAATGACCATGTCCTGGCAGGGATGGTATTCCCCTGAAACCTTGTGACAATAACCCAAGAGGAACAAGGTAGTCCAGAGCTGCAGGCGAGGACTAGGAACGCCTGCTCAGCTGTGGGGCACACATGAACTCTGTGCGTCCTCTTGCTATGTATGTAAACGCTCTGTGTGTGTGTGTGTGTTTGCAAAAGAAGGAAGGCCAGAAATATAACTCAGGGGTAAAGAGCATGTGCCAGGCCCTCGGTTCAAACCTTAGTACTGAAGAAATGGACCAATCAATCAATCAATCAATCAATCAATCAATCAATCAATCAATAAATCAAGTGAGGAAGAAAACATGAAATCTGTGTGTGTGCGTGCACGCACGCGTGTACACCAGAGGTTATTCCAGGTGTTTTCCTCAGTGGTTGGCTCTCCAGCTTACATTTAGGGGCAGGGTCTCTTGCTCTTTGATTAGAACGCATTGATTGGCCAGTGAACTCATTGGTTGGCCAATGAGCTTCAGGGATCCATCCGTCTTCGCCACTCTGCATCCCCCAGTTCTGGGTGCACAATTGCTCCTGGCTGTTTACTTGGCTGCTGGGGACGGAACTCAGGTTCTCGGGCTGGCATGCTCTCTACTGACAGAGTCATCCTCCAGCCTCTGTCCTTTCACCTGAAATCATGCCCACAAGACACTTCCTGTTTTTCCCCAAGACAGGGTTTCTCTGTATTATTTTGGAGCCTGTTCTGGAACTTGCTCTGTAGACCAGGTTAGCCTTGAACTCACAGAGATCTGCCTGCCTCCGTCTCCTGAGTGCTGGGATTAGAGGCATGTGCCACCAACATCTACAAGATCCTCTTAAGTAAACTGGATATGGTGGCATAGGTCTGTCATCCCAGAATTTGGGAGGCTGAGGCAAAAGGATTCAAGGCCAGCCTGAGCTACACAGAGAAGAAAATGAAAGGTACTGTTAAAAGTGCCCAGTTCCCAATAGCACACACAGCAGTGACACAGGTCTTCTTTGTTTGTTTCAAACTGTATATATTTTACACAGAAGGGTGAGGTTTGGGGGCCACAAACCCCTGGCCTTCATGTGTGTCGGTCTCTGGGTGGTAGGGTTTGAATAGTTTCCGGTTTTTTTCATTTACACTGTCGTTAGCTCTGTTTCTCTACCTCTGACAGGGTCTCACTATGGCCTGGTATTCACTATGTAGCTCAGGCTGACTTCAAATTTATAGCCCTTCTCCTGCTTCAGTCTCCTGAGTGCTGGGATTACAGGCACACACAGCTGGTTTCTCTTCCTCCTTTTGTACTTACACGTACATTCAGGCTTATAAACAAGCAATAATTATCACTGAAGTTTTTAGCATTTCCTCTAAGATTGTACCTTCTAAATGAAGCCTGTTTATATCCGAATCCACTCACAAACACCGGTGAAGTTGGTGATACTCGCATCTGATTGGTGGAGAAGGCTCAGAGAGGGTAAGTACCTTGTCTAAGAATAACAGATAATCCTAACCCCTCTTGAGAAGTGGATGTTGTTTTCATCAATCCTTAGTGGCTTCTACCACAGGGACAGAGTCCTGGCACAGCAGATCTCCACAGGCTCCTGCTCTCCTGCCCCAAGTTCCTCCCCAACCCCCTCCCCGCCCAGCCCAGCTACTTGAGTAACAGCTTTGGTGAGAACTGGCTTTGAGCTCCAGTCGCAGACGGAAGGCGAAAACGGCCTGTTCAATATTTCCTCCTAATGAGCCTCCGCACGCCTGTCGCCTTTCAGGAGGGAGGCGAGCTCTCTGCCACCGATGTCCTCATATCTATCAGCTCTGTTTACCTGCGGGGTGGCAGAGGGAAGGAGCGGAGTTATACATAAATACCAGGAAATCCACCGAGGACGCCAGGCAGAGCGCTTAATCCCACCTCCGTCGCTAACGACTTAGAATCTGAAGGAGTCACTCTCCCTCCGGTTTCTCTATCTCTAAAGTAAACAGAGGGTAACATGCTTAAGAAAAAAAAAAAAGAATCAATCGGTGTTCCAAAGAAAAAGGATGTGTGCGGGCGGGGCTGGTAGCTCCGGGTTGGACTGACACTCTCTCTCTCTGTTCTGATGATGCTGGAGACAGTGAGCCCTGTCCCACCTCACCTGTCAGCCCTTCCAGGAGGCCGGAGTGTAGTGACACCTCCCCCTCACCTCCAAGCACTTCAGTCTGCCCTCTTGCTCTCCTGGGCTGGCTGTTCCAAGGCATATCCATGTGAGTCATTTCTGTTGAAACCTTCCTTCCAGAAAGATCCAACTCTTCTGTTTTGGACAGGCAGATCTTCATGTCCCTGTTTTACCTTCCCCCAAGCCTGACCTCACACCGCAGGGCCTTTGCATGTGCTGTTCGGTTTCTGGCATCAGCTATTCTGACCTCCAGACTTTGAGCTCCGTCAGGGTCAGTCTTGGTTGTCTCTGATCCTGCAGTATGTGGCAGCTGTCCAGAGACGAATATGGGGGCGTGAGAACAGGTAGGAAGCCAAAGGCCTCTCTCCACTCGATGGGTGAAAACCCCCCAGCGGGTGTGCTTCAACATGTTAAGCAGGTCCCATCCAGCAGGTTCAATCTGTGCTGATGTCCACAGTGGAGCTTGCAGGACCATGTACACCAGCTACCTCACCCAAGCCACAGAACCCAGGGTGCTCCCCCAGCATGGGACAGGGTCACACTGAGAGCCGGGGTCTTGGCAGCCACCTCCTGAAAGGAGCAGGACAGCTCCTGGCTAGGTGTGACATCAAGGGTTTTTACACAGGGAAGAAGTTTCATGCTTTTGAACACTGGCTCCAAGACATGCTTCCCTCTTGTGTACCTCCCAAGCCCTCTCTGAGGAAGGAAAAGCTGCAGCCAAAGGCTTGGGATTAAGCGCAGCTGGCGGACTGCTTGCCTGGCATGTACATGGCCTTGGGCTTGATCCCTAGCACCTAACCAACTGCACACATTGGCATCCACCTGTAATCCCAGCACCCTGGAGGTCAAGGTAGGAGGATCAGAAATTCAGAGTGCTCCTCAGCTACATGACAAGTTCTAGGCCAGGCTGGGCTACATGAGACCTTGTCTCAACAATAACAAAAGGGAAGCCAAGGGCATTGTTGCTGGCCAGCTTCATGGATCCTCAGGCCATGTGCCATAGAGCAAGAGGAGCACAGGCAGCCCTCTCCCCAGTCCCCGGGCTGTTGCGCGTTCCTGGGGCTGTCTTAGGAGACTCCAGCTGGTTCTCCTCTAACCCAGAGGTTAGAAGTCCACTGCTGGCTCACTATTCTCTACAGACTGTTGGGGCTATAGGGCAGAAGTTGCATCCACGCACACGTCTCCTGCTCACCTGGCTGAGTCCCTGCCCTGACCGCTACAGCAGGAAGGCTCCATCTCTGAGGGTTGCCAAGGCACTGTTTCAAAGATGCCAGGGGCTCTGTTCACTTTCAAATCCAGCTTCAATGTCACCTTCATGGCTAAGTCTTCTCTGACCTCCCACTTCCCATTATGACCCTCATGCTGGCCTTGCTCTCTGGGCCCCTGGCAGCAGGTTATTAACCTACCTCATCCAAGCCTTCTCCCTTCCCACGGGAACACAGGTCCTGAGCACGGGCATCACTCACTGGGATGGGTTGGTATGCAATAGGTGCTCATATATATTCAGGACACAAGACCTGGGGCTAGGCAGACAGTTCCCTCTGCAAAACTATTACTGTCCAAGTATGAGAACCTGAGTTCATACCCCAGAACCACATAAAGACCAAGCATGATGCACACATCTGTAACCACAAGTGAGACAGGCAGATATGTGGGGCTTGCTGGCCAGGCAATCTGGCTTAATCTATGAACTCCAGGTTCAGTGAGAGACCCCATCTCAAAATAAGGTAAAAAAGACCTCTGTCTCCCTTCCCCCCCACAATACACCCTATACCCACAGTTACAGCATGAATGTCAGTTTACAGAGTCGTCAAAGTGGATAAACCACTTGCCAGGCTCCTCGCAGAGGGTAGACGAGCCATACTGTTTCTTCTCACGGCTTCTGTTGCTTTGGAATCAGATCCATATTCCTCTCACCCAGGCCCCTGCCGACCCACCTCCCTCTGCTTCCTCAGCACACCCTAGACTAGTCTTCACTGGCCTGGAGTTCTTCCCTGCTGGAGGTCCCGGAGCCTTTGCACCCCCACCCTCTGCTGCCCATGACTGTACCCCAACACAGGCACATGCAGACAGATCTTAGTGCTGGGATTCCTCTTCTCAGGGTCCATCTAGCCCAGCCCTATTACCCCAATTCCAGCTGCCCCAGTTCCATCTTTCCACCGGTACTGTCTGAAAGGGCCTTATTTACCAGTAGAGCCAGTTTGCCAGGGAACCTAGCTCCACGGGCTCAATACCCAAGGCCGGTGCCTTCTCTATCCATTAAACTCAGTCTACTCTCCATTCCTGCTGTGTCCGCCAAGGCTCCTCGGCGTGGTCAGGCATGCTCTCTCATTATGCCTTAGATCAATTTGAAGCTTGTGAATCTGTTCAAATCTCTTCCCAGGAGGAGGGAGGAGTGCCTTGTCTCTCTCTCTCTCTGGGGTGCCTTGGAAGGAGCGGCACACTCCCCAAGGTCTGCTCTCAGTTTGGTATAGTCTGCTGGTCTCTGTGGATCTTGGTGTATCTGCCCCCCTCAATGATGGGAGGCAGCCATGGCCCTTTCAGCTGTCAGTCGAACAGTCTCCCTGCCCCTCTCCAGTAGGAAGGAGTCTTTGTCCAGGGCCACCTGGCTTTCACACAGCTCCTTTCCACATGTCCCCATCAGAGCACTCTGCAAGGTTCCTGGTGTTCTGGGAAGCAGGCACCTGCCCATGAGTCCCCAGAGAGGTGAACCAACTGAGGGAATACTGCCTGGGCTCCTACAAGGGCACCAGCACCAAGTCTGAAGCCGGTACCAACTCTGCAGCCTCCCTGGCTTCCAGCTGGGGAACCCAGTGCCAGTGTCGCTTACCGGCAGTGCCCTTAGCGGCAGGACTCTCTGGGGACTTCCTCCACTAGGGTCTGAGGCTAAAGAGAGGTGGCATCTTTTATTCCACTTTGGTCACCGTAACCTCACAGAAGGGTGAAGCGGGAAACAGAAGGGTCAGATGTGTTTGAGGGCAGCCATTGAGACAAGTGGCCTTTAGGACATGGCTTCTGTGGCTCGGGATCGCAGGGTTAGATCCAGGGGCCCTAGGAACCAGCTTTAGGATGACGAAAAATGCTTCCTGTTCCCTTGGTTGTTCAGAGGTCCTTCTGTGGCCTGGCATTGCCGGGGCCTAGACATGTGCCTGGCTTACAGTCAGCCCTCAGTTGTGGTTCTGAAGTGATGGCCTGTAGTCGTCATAGTAGGTGCACACTAGGGAGTCACGGCATGAGAGATGTGAGGGCTGGGTGCTGCTCTGTGCCTGGGTGCCCCGAAAACAATTGTCTCTCCTTCCTGTGACCTTGGTGAGCAGCCCGACCTTCACCCTCTGCACGCAGCATGGCCTCCACAGCTCCTGCCAAGCTCGGGGAGGGAGGAGGGGAGCAGGGAGCTGCTGGCTCTGGAGTTGACGTTCTGGCTCTGCGGCCCCTTGGCTGAGCTTCATTTTCTCCTTCCAGCTTGTCATTTGTAAAAGTGGGATATTAACAGCCTCCATGCTGTAAGGACAGAATTGGTGGATACATGTAATGCGCTTAGCTCGTGCAGAGGCATGCTGGGTCACCAGCAGTAACCAGAGCCATTCCATGGTGGCCATTATCACAAGGGCACACCAGGGACCCTACACTCCTAGCTACTGCTGTTGGCACGACACTCTCCCGAAATACAGAGGTCTAGGGAGAGGTGACAAAGCCCGTGGGCCAAGGGGGTCACTGAGGAAGTGGGGGTCCCCTGGGAAGAGTGACCGTCGGGGGAGTGAAAGGGTGAAGTGGTGTGTCAGGGTTAGCCTGATGGCGGTGACAGCATGGAAAGTGGTTCAGCTCAACGCAGAGGGAGACACAGCTGCCCCGCTTCTGAGTGGAGAGGCGGCTGTTACAGGAAGTGGCCATCTCTCAGCTGTCTGTACACGCAGGGTTCCCGGCAGCATAGCTGGGAGGGGCTGACTGAACCCCAAGCTGAGCGGTGGGAATGGGCAGGGGTCACTGTTTTCCTTGGAACAGTAGTCCCCTTGAGGAAGAGAAACACCTGGAGACCCTCCAGTCGGGGCTGCTCCTACGTGCCGGTGCTGTGACTTCCAAACCAACCTGGGGTTTGCCTTCTCTACAGAAGGCCGTTGGGGACCTACAGAGCAGGTAGGCCCTATTCTTGGAGGGTGGAAACAGGGGTCAGAGGTACCCTGTGACTGGCCAGTGCAGCAGTGGTTACAGTCACAGCCCCAGCTAAGGATGGAAGCAGCCACTATTCACCTCATTTTATTGACAGCTATGGAGGTATCTGAGAAGTACTGGGCGATTCCATCTTCTGTCTGCTGAAGAGATGAAGGTCTGCTGGGCTCCTCGCTGTTGGGGCTCAGCCCCCACACCCTCACGCCAGGGTATGGAACATGTCCACCTTCTCCCGGTACAGCTGGTGGAACTGTTTGGCCAGACAGTGGAATGGGGCCTCGTAATTGTCCATCTCCTTCTGTAAGAAGTGAGAGGGAGTGAGAGTTTACAGTCTGGGGAAGCTGGCCCCTACTAGAGGCGTCTCTCCCCTCAGGTTCCTGACACGGTGTCGAGACATCTTCATGCTTTTGGGCAGCCGCTGTCACCGTGGAAATTTTATGGGAAACAGAGATAGAAGGAACACACTGACAGTTGCAGGGCATGGACAGGGGAGCCAGGGACTGGCCATCCTTGTGGTCACCGGGGTACTGTGTGGAGGGCATGAAGATGAGTCCCCTTACTTAGCTTTGACAGAGGTCCAAAGGCCAAAGCAAAACAGCAGACAGATGTGTTAGAGCAGAGAATCTGGCCACAGCTGGCCTCCAGGTGGGAAGAGGAGGAAGAGGAGGACACAAAGGCACCGCCCAGCTAGGAGAAGCACACACAACCCCACCCAAGATGCCAGGCTGCAGCAGGGACCAGTGGGGCCATGGGGGGACACGATGGGGACACGGGACCAAGTGGTAACAGGCATATCTTTAAGGAATACACTGGGACTTCTGGGGGTGGCTCCTCCCCAGGGATGGCTCTTGGCTGGAGGTTTAACAGTTTTCCTCATCCCTGATCCCTGGGGTAGCACTGACTGAGCTGGAATGAATGCTTACTTTTCATGACTAAAGGAGTCCAAGAAAAATTTCTATTTTTCAGAGAACTGATCTAAGAGTGGCCAATGGCGGCTCTCCAAGGTGAGGTCAGAGGGTCAGTCAGAAGCAAGGGCACACACACAGAACCTTCCTGACACCACAGCCACCACTCACCTGCAGCGTGGATGCCTGTTTTGTTTTGTTTCTGTCTGTCTCCCAAGTTTTTTATTGGGGCTAATGTTGCAACACCAGGGGACCCAAAAAAGGAACCTGTCTCTCAGACAACTTTTTTTGTTTGTTTTGTGAGATGCGGTCTCATGCAGCTTAGGCTGGCCTCAAACTCACTATAGCCAAGACTGACTTTGGATTTCTGATCTCCCTGCCTCTACCCTCTGGAGTTCTGGAATTACAGGTATGTTTCATGGTTCTGGTAATCAAATGTGGAGTGCCCTGCACTATACAAACACTTTCCTACCTGAGTTACACCTCAGACACCATTACCACCACCACCACCACCACCACCACCAAATTAAGACAGGGTCTTGCTATGCAGTCCATGATGGTCTTGAATTCTTTATCTTCCCCCTTTAGTCTACCAAGTGGTAGGATTACAGGTACACACCATCACACTATCTGGGCATTTTAAGAACAAAGTGGCAGAGAGGACCTACCACACTGCAGATAGGAGATGCAGCTAAGAGTATACAAGGGCTGTCTGAAAGCTTTCAGTGGCTGGCAAAGACGCAACACAACTCTACGCAGGCACTGAGTGTTCCTGGTTGAAACGGGAGAACATCACAGGAGTCAGAGTGTCTGCACTTTACAGAGGAGTGGATGAAGCCCAGAGGTGGGGTACCCTGCTGGACAATGTACCCTGACCCCACACTAGTCAGAAGTGCCCCAGGCCCAGGGAGAAAGCTGCCTAGACCCCACAGTAAGGAAAAAACAAGAGGGACCAGGGGAAGCTGTTGGCCAAGAAACAACAGAGCTCATTGCCAAGAGAGTGCTGGGAAAGGAGGACAGTCTGCAGCCCAGACAGCACCTACTAAGGTCTCCACAGGCATGAGAGCCTAGCCAGCCTCACCTCTGCTTGTGTGGCCATCATGTCCAGGTAGTCAATGTAGCTGAATAAGCTCCCCCCACCCCGAGCGCCACCCCTCCAACCTAAGTGCCCTTAAGCACCAAGCGGAGGGAAGGAGGCCTCTGAAGTCTTGCGGGAGGGTTTCTAGACAAAGTCAAAAGCTCTCCAAAGCACTAGCTGGGAGCACCCATGGTGAAACGCAAGGAATACAATGCCCAGGAGCCTTGACAGACACCATGGAGTGCTTGGAAATAGATGGGAATGGGAATTGAACCATTTTCCAAACACATTAAGGGGCCGCCAGCACCAGAAGTCCTTTTAGCTGATGACTAATCATCATCTTGTACTGTCTGGACACTGACAGAGCAGGCTGTTGAGAGATGGCATTTGGAGTGGGCTCAGACTAGCCCTTGGTTTGACTTAGAATTCTGTCCCCAAGAGCCCCCAAACAGATATCGTGAGGAGGTCAAGGGTGCACACTCCTGGAAGACCTTAGCGTTCAAGTCTTCCTAGACAGGGCTGCGTCCTGGTCTTGGTTCTGCTCTTCCTTATCTGTGCGACAGGGAGAGACACACAACCTCTCTGGGTCCGTCGGCTAACTGAACAACAGAGACAAGAGCGGCTGCCTTGCTGGCGTGTATGAAGCTCAAAAGGTCATTTAGACAATCAAACGGCAGGCCTCGGATGCCCGGGAGGGCGGCCTTCCCCACGGAGGCCGGAACTTGGCCTCACTGGCATTCAATACTTAATCTCACCTTAGTGATAAACAATGGGTTTTGGTTTTGGTTTAGAAAATTCTTTAAATTTTGTTCAAAGAAATCCTTTTCCACTTTTTCGGGGCCCAGAAATGTCAGCCATGGAATGGTGTTTAAGAGTCAAAGAACCGTGGAGGTCTCTCCCGGAGGCTGCTGCACTTCTGAAGAAGTGAAGAGGAGATGGGCTTGGCAGCATCTCAAACCACGGTGGGTTACGGTCCCTTTTTAATTAGAGCTTTCTTAACCGAGCCGCCAGTGGCACTCCTGTTAGCAGCAACTCAGGGGGGACTAGTTAACTCGCACAGTTAATACGGAGTGCTCGACCGCAGCCTCTTCAAGCAGGATTTATGTGCGTCTGTCCTGACACCCAAACGGAGCTGACCAGTACTCGGGTGACTGATGTGTGGGGCCAGGTTTTAATTTCTGGGAAATATGGGTGTTGGGGGAGGGGATGGAGTGGCTGCCAAAGGTGGAGGAGGAGGGAGTGGGGAGCTATGGGTATAGAGCTCTCTGCTTACTCAAAGGTGAATAGCACCGCACAGCCAGGGGGCCCTGTGCAGTGCAAGCTCTCTCATTTGAACTTCATTAATCTAGTATTGTGATAATTGGGACTCCAGGCAGGGGTGACATCCATCTCTGTACCAGCCACAGGTTCTGGGGTTTAGTAAGTAGTAGCAGTAAAAATACCACATTAGGGGGTCATTTCTGTTTTTAAAAGCCAGCATGTTGAGTGTTTACTCAACTAGACGAGACATTGTATTAACTGTTTTACATTCCTGGGTGTAATAGTCAGCAAAGGGAAGTTTCCTATCCCTGTATCTACAGGCGAGCAGCCTGAGGCTCCACAGTATACACCCCTTTCCCAGGATCCCAGAGTCAGTTTGGCTCCTTGCTGCTGGAAGGCCTAGCCTTGCTGCTCTGAAGACTATGCCTTATCTGAGGAAGTGTGCCAGTGGGGGACACGAGAGATGTCTGCATCCTCAGAGCAACAGGCTGTTCCGCAGGCGTGACTGACAGAGCCTGTAGCTGGAGGAGGTGACGCCCGGGTTTGGAGGTGACGCCCAGGTTTGCACTACAGAATTGGGCCTACAGAGCTTAAAACTAGACCTCACACAACACAGCCACCGCAGGCCTAACAGGCAATGCTCCTGAGTGAGGGCCGTGGCTTCTTATGAGATACGGCATCTGGGCCATCTGCATGCCTGTGGTTGGAGGCTCAGAACACGTATGTGGTGTGGTCAGAGTCACACACCTGGAAAGCACAACCTTCCATGTTTCACAAGTAAGAAGGCGTGTCGCTGTGCTGACCAGCCCTGATGATGCCAGTGACCCATCACTCAGAGTCTCTCACGTGGGAGGGCTCTCACATCCAGGATGACACCAGATGCTCCTATGGGACGAGAAGCTGGGGTCTTGGGGCTGGGTGCACCCTGGCCACGTGGGCCTGGGCTAGTCAGTTTTGCACTTTGAAGCTGAATTGTGGATAGGACACGTATCTCACAGAGCTAACTGGGAGGCTCCACTGAAACCAAGAGTCAACACTACGTGTCCTTCAGCAGCTCTCAGAGGTCAAGGGTCAGGGAAATGGGCCACCTTCCACTTCACAGTCTTCCTGAGATGCACACAGCTTGGCCTAGGGCAGGCTGCCTGCCCTGCTTCTCGGTGCCACACAGGATTCTCATGACACACACTGAGCATTCTGGGTAGAATGTCAACATTGGTTCTAATTTAGATTTTTGCATCTGGGAGCAGAACCGTTAGAGGCACCTGGGGTCATGAACAAACCACCAGCACAGAGCTCCCCCAGCTCAGTTGCTCAGAGGATGGGGGTACTCACCACAGATGTTTCAAAGAATTCCAGGCCTTGGCCCAGAGCCCATGCCTGGGCCTGCGAAGAATCCACTGTTCGTCGGCCAGAGAGGTCTGTCTTAGTTCCCACTAGAACACCTACTCAAAAGAAATAACCACAATATTGTGTTTTGAGGTGGCATGCTTGGAGGTCAGCATCAGATGACAGAAGCTGCCCGCCTGAGGTGGTATGTGCCAGCAGGTAAGGTCCCCAAGGGCTACAGAGGACAGACTGGCTTTGCTCTGCTCATGCAGCTCAGCTCGGAGTTCTCTCATGGCTTCAAATATATCTATATTCCTCATCTCCTTAGGGCTAGAAGCACCAGGCAGGCCTGCACCAAGTTTAGAAGAGCATTTGTGATAATTCCCAGCACATGGAACCAACACTGGACATGGTCATTAATGCTAATCTCGGGCCTGGGCTCAGAGTCAGGGACTCAGGTAATTGAGCTCCGTTCCCAGCTGCCTCGGCTGCACTAATTTCTCAGGCCGTCTCTGGAGGCTGCTTTCCCTGGCCTCTAATGAGGAGAATTTGTTGATCTCACACAGGGATGAGAGAGAATCTGATTTAAAGCATGCAGAAGTGACAACAGAGCTGGAATGTAGCTTGTGCCCTGTGTACTGGGGAAAATGAGGGATTCCTCCCCGGAGTTAGCTTTCTGGAAACATCGGTTCAGAACACAGCAACTTCCGTCTCATTATTCAAACTCCCACAACACTTCCTGGTGGGTGGCACTGTGTCCCCACCCCAGGCTTGGGGAGGTTTTCAAGACCATTAAGGGCACAGGAAAGGATGCTGAAGTCAAGGCGTCAGGGGTTCAGGCCCCTGCTCTACTCCCACAGTGGTGTTTGCAATGACCTCAGGCCCTTGAACTGAAGGGCAAAGGTGCTGTTGGGCAGAGGGCTATCCATAGTTCCTACCTGGGAGGGAGATCCCCGGAGTCTGTGCCCGGACCTTCTCCAGCCACTTGTTGCAGCTGACGAAGGACTGCTCATTGGTCACATCGTAGACGAGACACAGGACGTTGGGACTCTCCCACTAAGCAGGAGACAGGAGGAGAACAGGGTGTAACAGGGACTCTTGGGTGGGGGAAGCCCAGCTGTCAGGGAGGTGGCTGGGGGAGGGATGTGAGCTGGGAAACTGTCACACTCACAGATAGCCACCATTCCCCATAGAGTGAGCGGAGGCCAGCCTCAGTGGCTCTCATGTGGAACAGACATTCCCATCTGGGAAAGGTGAGCCTGAACCTGGGTGTGGGGAACTGCTACCCGGAAGGAGCAGGGGCTGCCTGTGCATCACTGCGGTGCCCCAGTTGGTAGAGAGTCTCGCTGTGTAGCTGAAGAAGACAGCTGAGGTGATGCTGACTGGCCTTGGCTGACAGCCATCCAGGGGCAGGACTGTTTACCACCCAGAAGCCTGCTCTTGTCCAGAATGGTTCTACTAGCCCATGCACCATGGTTGTCTTTGAGAGTACACCACTATGAGCCGATGGTGTTCTCCACTATGAGCCTAGTCCCTGGATGTGTCTCCCTGCATCTTCTTCAGAAGGGGACACTTTTGGCTTCTCCCATGGTGCTGCCATCAGCCCTAATGCACACTACACTAAGTCCTGGAGGGGGCTCTGGTACCCAGTGAAGAGCCAGGGCTGATGGCCTAGAGTCCCTAAATATCCTGAAGCCTGTCCACGACAGGGGTCACGGGATGCCCCTGCCTGGGCTGTGGACTCTCCCTCAGTGCACGGGCTCTGGGTACCACCTTCCCTACACAGTTAGGCCCTGATCTGACCTTGTGGGGCGTGCAGAGTCCTGTGTTCCAGTAGCCTCGGAAGGCCAGCCCAGGATGGGCTCTGGAGAGGTTGGCAGAACAAGGCCAATGCAGTGACCCTTCTTGGTGTGAGAGAAGACGCAGAGCCTCACTTCTCACTGGAGGCCTCCCCAGAGGGGAAGGGATCAGTGGTCCTGTCCTGGGAGGTGGGGGAGAGCTGTAAGACCCCCGCCACAAAGGCCTGATCAAAAATAGTGGGCTGGGGTGGGGCTTCAAGGACAGACCGGTTTCATGCTTCCTGGTACATTTCGGAGTTGGGGTAGCCATAATGGACAAGAGGGAACACACACTTGCCAAGGGCCCAAAGCCTCAGCTGGGAGGGACAGTCCTGAATGGCTCCTTCTGACAGCCCCAGTGTATTCCCCTGGGCAGTGCCACTGGAGAAGGAGTTGGCCAGAAGTGAGTGGTAGAGGTGGGTAGGAAAAACACAACACACTACTTACCAGTTTATCCAGCATCTCAGAGAACAGCTCCTTGCCTGCCGAGTCAAAAATGAAGAGTTCCTGGAACCAGAAAAGCGCACCTCAGAAGCGAACACAGAGTCAAGCTGAGCTTTTCCACTCAGCTCTCTGTGGACGTGGCCTGAGGTAGGTAGAGTATGACGCCCACAAGCATGGGTGCCTTCACACACGCTCTACCTTCCCCGAGGCCCCAGAGAGACGGCGAGAACAGTCCAGAGGCAGAGGCATAGCATCCACCCACCTGGCATTGTGACCTGGCTCACCTTGCCCAAGCTCAAGTACGAGTGGAGGGAGCCGGCTGACTGCCCACCTGGCAGGTCAGGACGCTAAGCAGGCTGACAAGTGTTCTGGTGTCCAAAAGGTTACTCTGTGCTTTGTTAACCAAATGCATTCTCAGATCGTATAAGGATTTTTGGTAAAGGAGGTCACCCAGGAGGCCTGGGGACGGTGCTTAAAGTAGGGCAGCCCGTCACTGCTCTGAGATGGTGACTGTGTACTCTGCACACGAGGCTCCCAGCCTTCCTAGCCCCGGTGGAAACCTTCCACAGTGCTGCTGCTTTCTCAGAGTCCCCTGAGGTCCTCCAGCCCCCTCCTGGTGCAGTATCCCCCCCCCGGCCTGGCTCCGCATTGCTGTCTGTTCCATGGCCTGCCCTGTAGAGTGGCTCCTGCCTCAGCCTTTCTTGTAGTATCAGGGGAGGTCTGTGTCTTTTATTCTGCCTACAGGTCTCCTTAAGGACCTGGTGAACGCTACAGACCCTCTCGGGGGAGCAGCCACACAAACATGACATTGTGCCATTCACCCTCAAGACTTGTGGGGCCTCCGGAGGGGTCCCGTTAAAAACTCAGATAAAAGACACCAAGTTCTTTTGGAAAGGCCTGCATCGTGACCCTCCCCTCCTCTCTCAGGCCCTCCCTCAAAAACTCCATGTGTCATTCCATGTCCCTTGCAGGGAGAGGACCCAGCCCAAGGGAGCAGCCCCAAGTCACCACTCACCACACTGTCATTTGTGTCAACAACTGGCACTGTCTTCACCACCAAATCCACACCTGTTGTCTGTAGGAACACCAAGATCACAGGCGTTAGAGCACCCCACAGTGGGAGGTCCAGAATGAGGCAAGCCCCCACCTCCCTGCAGAGGTATACCGGACATGTAGAAGTCAGAGTCCCCAGTGGCCTCCCAACTCCCTGCCCTCCACTGTTCCTCACAATCATGTGGTGTTCTGGCCAGTTCCTCAGGGGACAGTCCTTCACTGGTGGCCAGTGGAAACTGGATCTCCATGTGGCCACTTCCCCCATCTTTTCTCATCTGGGGATTTTGCTAAGTCACTCTCACAGTTAACGGTCGTGTTTCTTTACATTGTGACCAGGCCGGGACTCTACAGCCCCACTTACCAGAGTATAGTTCTTTGGGAAATGGGTCCCGTCACTTCGGAACATCTGCACCAGGGCCGTCTTGCCTACAGCTGGGTCTCCTGAAGCCAGAGCAGAGACAAAGACATTACTTGGGTCTCATCAGGCATAAGAACCTCCTCCTCCACTCAGCAGGACTTGACTCGAAACCAGAAACTTCGCTGAGTTTTCAGAGCAAACGTCTGCAGCTCTCATGGGAAGCAGGGAGGTTGCCAGCAGGGTAAAGGGTCCAGGAGACCCAAAGCTCACCAGGGCTGGAATACATCTCTATACACCTCACAGCCCTGTCAGCCAGAATGACCTAGAAGGTAACAGGGGTTAAGGAGGGCTCCGAGCCCTGGCAACAGAAGTGACACTCTTCTACCAAAGCGCACCCCGTGGGAGAAACCTGTCACCTTCAAACTCCAATTTGCTCTAGAGTCTGGCCAACAAAAAGGAGGGAGCAGCCAACGCATGACCCCAGGAGCCACTGCCTGCATTTTCATCTGTACGGACAGCAAAGACGTCCAGAGGCTGCATTCACTGTGCGAAAAACGCATTTTCAAGTGATGTACGCCATCTTGACGGGCCAGGCGAATGCTGAGCTTCAGACTGAGGAGTGAGCACCCCCCCCCCAGCATCCCCTGTCATATCCTACAGTCCCCTGGCCCAGCTGGGCCGAGCCCTTCCCTCTCTTTGTTCAATGAAAAGCTGCAGGAACCCACACCTCAGAGAGGTTCCTGTCAGTTTTCGGGCCTAGATCTGAGTCTTTTGCAAGCTAAGAGGGAGTGGTTTCATATGGAGTTCTCCGGGGGCTGTTGTAGGGACAGCTCAGGGCTCCTGGCCCTCTCCACTGGCCCACCTGTAGCCTTGGCCATGCTAACCTGCTCGTTTTACATGGAGAGAATTCTGATTCTTATCCCATCACCCAGGTGTTACTGGGCACCCTCAGGGACATCACCTCCATTCCTCCCAGCATTTGGGACAATCTCCATCTTCAGTCTGTTTCACAGTGACTCCCTTTGCCTGACTTCTCCACTCTGCTGCTCGGGACAGTGCTCAGTTTTGACTTTTCCCCACCTGTCATTTTCTCTTGAGACAATTACATGACAACTATGGTGTCTTGATGCAGGAGACCTCCGCTAGGGTCGAGTGAGCCATTCAGGACTTGATTTCCTGTCAGCACTTCCTAGAAGGGAGCAGCCATGGGCAGCGCCCACCTCACAAATCCTTCCCTCCCAGGCTGCACTCCCACAGAAGTCACAGGTGAAGACAGCTCCGGACAAGCTAGGCAACTATCTAGGATTTTGTACTGCTTTGCTTTACTAGGCTGGTCTGGATGATCATCCCAAATGCCACCTTGGGGTTCTTCACCCTGTGACCTCTCAGAGTCTGTGGGCCCCACCTAGTCAAGGGCAGACAGAATTCCTCACGCCTCCTTGATGACCCAGAAGGCAGCCAGTCACTACCCCAACTCCCACTCTGTTCCTAAACCTGGGAGGAATTGGCTCTTCTCCCTGGGAAACCCCCACAGATTGCTTTTGGTTAATTTCATCAAGCTTTCTGCTGACTGCCAGTCACCAGGGCTGGCAGCAAAGCTCCTGTGTGGACTACGAAGAGGGGTCTGAGCACAGGAGGTGGGGGAGCTGATAAACATATTCTCAGAGCAGCAGGATGACGAGTGGAAAAGCAGACAGCACAGCTGAGAAGCAGAGCATCTGAGGGAACATGAGAAACCTCGAGAGCCCAAGATCCCATGTGGTTGCTGGGTGCAGGGTTTCCTGGAGCCACAGCCAGGGATGGAAGACTGCATTTCCTTGGGAAGGCACCCCATGAGGCTACCCATGACCTCATAACTAACTGCCGAGTCCCGAGACCTCTCCTGGGTTCTCACTAGTGAACTCTCTAGATGGGAGGTGGTCTGTAACAGTTCCCTATTGCCCCACCCTGATTGTGTGGTTGTGGTGACCCCGCATGGGCTCCGTTCTGTCACCATTAGCGGCTCCTCTGCCCCCTACATCCAAGTGGGCACTGCTGGGTCATCTTCAATGCTCTGATCCTGGCTCTTCTGTCTCAGCTCCCCCACAGCCCCCATCGCAGTTTGGGATTAAGCCTAGGGCCTCATGCCTGCGAGGCAAGGGATCTACTACGGAGCCACAGCCACAGGCCTGGCTTCTCTCATTCCTCGACCCTTGCTGCCCTAGGCAGGCTCTTTCCAAAGCCGGCCGTGCCTCCAGCCGTTGTGGGGGCTTCCATTGCCTTCTGCAGTTTGCTACTCCACAGCCAAGCCCACATCTCGCCAGAGTGAGGTCTCCATCTCTCTGTCTTTCTGCCCATCACACCACCACGCGCATCCGTGTTCCAGGGTACGACCACCATCGCCTCCTGCACCCTACCGCCCTCTTCCTGATGTTGTGGGCTGTCTCTCAAGCCTACACTTTGGGACCTTCCCCTACCACCCACAGCTGCCCCTCTTTGAGCTTCCGTCTGCCCAGCCCTGAGGGCAGTGATCCCCGCACCTGACCACCCCGGTGTCCTTGCCTCTGATATGCTGATTTCGGTGGCAATGTGGCACATTATGACATCGCCCTAGGGTTGATGGGACCGAATGCTGTGCCAGCCAGGCAGTGCCCCTCCCCAGAGGGCTGTGCCGCCCAGCTCGTGGGTCCCTCCGCCTCCGCACCACCGCTGTGTGCCCCAGTGCTTCTGCTGGCTGACTCTGGCCCTGTCACATCTCAGGAGCCCATTCTGTCATCACCTTTCTCTGACGCCCCACACTACCAAACACATCTCAGACCCATCAGAGTGTCACAGAACAGGCCTGCCCCAAGTCCTCTCAGGCACCCACAGCAGGCACCCACAGCTCTCTTTGGCCAGCTTCTAGCTGACCATCCAACCGTCTCCAAGGGAGCCTCGCAGAAAACCTAGAGGTGCCATGCACGTCCTCTTGTTTCCTCCAATCCAAGTCCAGATCTTGTCCTTTCTCTCCAGGCAAAGCCCAAATGGCTTCGTGTGTGCCTCTGAGGTCATCCGTCCCTCTGTTGTCTTTACCAGGGTGGCTATCATATCAGATTCATGCTCTCAGAAGGGATGCCAGGGCTGCACTCCAGCAAGTGTGACTGTTGCCTCCATACCCTTACACAGGTGGTCATCACCAAAAGGGCAAAGACCTGGGGCCAGACTCCAGCTCCACACTCATCGTGTGACATTAGGTCAGTTACTTAAGTCCTCTCTGTCCCCCTTTCTACATCCGTAAAAAGGGCTAACAACTACCTACTTCACAGGCTGGCTAGAGAGTTAATGAGTCAGTATGCCCCCTGCCTGGCCCACAGTGCTGTTAAACGGACGAAGCGCAGACCAATGTCAACTGTGCCTTTTTACCCCCTCCATCTCGAGCCAGAGAAGCGGCAGTTGTGTCTGAGGCACTCCTCAGCCTGACACACAAAGGGCCCACAATTCACACCTGCACATCTGGGTTCTTCCCGATGAGGGAGTTGGGCCCACGGCATCTCGTATGGTGACCCAACACAGCAGATGCTCAGCAGACATCTGCCGGGTGACTGGTTATTACGTGAGAGAACACATGTGGCCTACAAGGGCTGAGAAGAAAGAGCTAGGTAGCGTGCGTGCGTGTGTGCGTGTGTGCGTGTGCGTGTGTGTGTGTGTGTGTGTGTGTGTGTGTTTGTATATGGCAAGGGTGGTATGGAGATGAAGATCTGAATGTGGTTCCACTGGGGTCTGTTGGTACCTGGAGGCTCCCGAGGGGAGACCCCTGAAGGCCTTAACTAGAAGCTGTGGACTGAGGACCAGGTTGGAGTGGAGGTCCAGAGCCACTGCCGACTCTGGCTGGGGCTGGAGCCATGTGGCAGGCACAGTGCCTGGGTCTGGACCTAGGACAAGTGTCTTCATTGCTCTGGGCCTTGCTTGCCTCACCGTACACAAGGATGACACAGGGCTGGCTGGTGGCTGTGAGGGCTAGCAGAAACTGGCCCTGAGGGTGTGGCGTGGGGCCAGCTCACAGCAAGTCTCAGGAGAACGGCTCACGACAAGAGCTTCCTGCTTCTTTGAGAGCTCATCAGCTAAGGAGGAACGAGCAGAGAACAGCAGGCAGAGCCGCCCACTTAGAAAGAAACTTTAACTTTAGAAAAATGAAGATGTCCCCAACTTACCCGTGCAGACGCTGAACGCTGTCCAAGGCAGCAGAGCTGGGGAGAGGAGGACTGACCAACACTCTTTTGTTACACAATACTGCCTCCCCTGGTGCTCTGGAGAGCTAGGGTCCCTTTTGCTGCAACAGGCTCTGAGTCACGACTGTCACTCATCTTTCTGCGTGACCCTTTTGTTTTCAAATTAGAAAAGTCATTAAGGAAACTATCCCCCATTCTCAGTCTGTAGGATAAAGATCCGTAGATACCACCCAATGCTTGCCAACTTCTTGATTGCAAAGAAGAATCATGGCTGGGCATATCTGAGAAATTATCTAGATTAGGTTAACTGGGGGGAGCCCACCTCCAAAGGTGGGTGGCGCCGTTGTATGCACTGGATCCCATCTGGATGAAAAGGAGACAGTGAGCTGAGCGGCTACGCTTCCTGGCTGTGAGTGCAATGTGACCAGCCAGTAGCTGGCTCCTGCCACTGTGTCCTGCCCCACCATGCCTGGCTATCCCCTGGAACTGTGAGCCACAATAAGCCCTTCCTCTTAAGCTGCTTCCTGTCAAGTATGCTGTCATAACAACAAGAAGAGCAGCCAACACTTCATCTAGGAATCCTGTGTGTGACCTTCCCTAGGGGCTCACCCTACGCAACACCACTAAGTGCCCCAGCCGGGACCACAAAGAATCTACCCTGCTGTGCCGTGGTAAAGGGGTTAAATGAAATACAAGTGACTGGCACGCAGTGTTAACCAATCTGTCTACCAGCTATGCAAATAAATGATCTTCTCAGCGTTCGGGCTGGCTCAAGGCAAGCCCACAGGTGTGAGCACCAGGACTCACTCACTCTGCACGTTATCTATTTAATACTCACCCACGCTCTAGGCATTGTCCAGGCTATTTCCCAGGTCAGCCAACAATAAGGAGATTCGAGATTCTCACTCCCGGGGAAACCCCTAGTCCAGACTCTCAGCTGGGCAGCACGGTAACCCACCCTTCCTATCTTCCTGATATCAGAGGTTGTTGGGGCCAGCGTAATGGCTCAACCTTTGTGGGGCCAGCATCACTGTTGCCTAACTTTGGGGTACCGTCCGTGTTTGTACTGTAAGACTCCCTGGTGAAGATGGTCTCAAAATATGGGAGGGAGACGGGGAACACAGCTGCAGTTACAAATGTGTCCGAGGAGAGAGGGAATTCTGGAATCTGCTCTGTTGGTCACTATTCCAATGGGAGACAGGCAGTGGACGCAGTCGTGAACCAAAAGTGCCTGACTTCGGATGGCTCAGGCTCCGAAGACCACGCGTTCAAGCGCATTTTATCACTCACCTGCCAGGATGCACTTGGCTGCTAGCTTCACCATGGTAACCAGCCGCTAGCAGGGACTGGGGAGGGGAGGGCTGAAAGAGGGTTAGGATTCGGGGACAGCTGATCCCAGGGCCTGAGGCCTCGGTGAGTGGATGGATGGATGGAGGCCCGGGAGCTAGGGTTGGGTGGACATTGGGCTTCAAGGCCTCAGGCAGCCGGCAAAGTTGCCGGCGGAATGGAGCGGAGCGGAACCGATCCCTGCCCAGCCTTCCGGTCCAGGCCCCTTCAGAAGAGTTGGGACACAAACGACTAGTCCCGCTGGTCCCAAGAGTCGCGCCAAACAGGCTCCTGGCAACCATCGCCAACCCGCCTCCTCCCTCCATGTTGTCCTCCGATTGGTTGCTACCAAACGCTCGGCGCCACCAGAGACCCAATAGAAGAAGGAGGTGGGGAAAACTGTCTCCCTTGGGCCGACGATGCCGAGAGGTTTCTGCCTTTAACGGCTCTCAGCTTGGCCAATGGCTTCAGACGATGTCAGTCTTTGGAGAAGCAGCCCAATCAGGATGCAGCTGGGGGCGGGGATGAGTGGGGCTTTCTGATTGGCCAGAGTGTGGTTCGAACACGCGATGAGAGCTCCCCCTGACTTCCTGGGAGTGGGGTCGCCCACATGGGGCGGGGCGACGCCGCTAGAGCGGCGCCTGCGCAGTAGAAGAAGTCGCGGCCTCGAGATCCCTGTGCTGGTGGCTGCGTCCGCAGACCCCAGGCTCGATGGAGCGCCAACACCTCTAGCACTGCCTCATGTCCAGAAACAGAATGCCGCCTTTAAAGCCCAAGCGTGTTATGCGCCTTAAAACCTGAAATGGCGGGGAGGGAAGGATGCGGAACGCTGAGGGAGAAGTTACAGTGTAGATGCAGGAAGGCCCGCTATGATTTGAACAGTGGGAGATTGGGGACAGCACCCCTGCGTTTCACCTTCCGGGAGCTGGACGGGAAGGAGGGATGGTCACAAAGAAACGTTAAATATTTGGGTAGAGACCTTTGACCTGAGGGAAACTCATACACTGTATACATATGTAAATACGTACAGATTTGTTATAATGTATCAGTTAAACGGAATTAAAATATAAAATCCAAATTAGACGCAATTTGAAAGTGATACCTGAGTGGATGGGAGGCCATGGCAACCTGGTTGAGCAGATTTGTGCCTCTCTCTCAGTCGGCTTCCTCTGTTGTGGATGAGAGGATGCTATCTCCATGTTGCCCCTCAGGAGGGGAGGGCGGGTAAATGTCATCTGACTTTCCTAGGAACCTCTCTTGCTTTGTCGCCAAGTGATGGGATACGGCTGGGCAAGTCACCATACCTCTAGACCTCTGATAAAGGTAGGAACCACCCATCTCATGGGAGGAAGGAAATAGACACGTGTCTGTGTGTTGGGGTTTTGTTGCTATGACAAAACAGCTGAGAGAAACATTTTAAAACAGGAAAGGTTTAGTCTGGTCATTTGGTTGAACACCACAACAATGGTAACATATAATCATATAGCCACCTATGATTATATGCTATATAGGAGAGGGGAGGGAGAGCGCCAACCATATGCCCTCAAAGACACGCTCTTACAACTAGATTCCCTTTCTCACATGAGGTAACCATCGGTGGGTCGATCCCCTGATGGAGTCAGAGCTCCAGTGGTCACTCCACTCCAATCATGTCCGCTAAAAGCCTTAGATCTGAAAACCCCTGCTCCGAGAGCCAGGCTCTCAACACAAGTCTTTGGGGTGGGGTGGGTGTGTATCCACCACCATGGCTCAACATCGCTGCTGCAGGTTGGCCACAGCTCTCTGCCCGGTTGCTTCTCACTGGGTCCCAGATGACAGTAATTTGACAGTCACTGACGGTGTATTTTATTTATTCTTTGTTTGTGGTATTGGGAGTTGAATCCAGGGCCTTGTGCTCACTGGCCAGGGCTCCATCACTGAGCCACACCCCTCCCTGCCCAGCAAGCATCCATTCTTGAGTATCAGTTCTCACACAGGTAATGTTGCCCCTGGGGAGGGTGCAGCAATGGTTCCCAGGGTGCTAGTCTGGTCCTGGCTCCTCTCTCTCCCCTGACTGCACTCTGAGCTGGAGCTGAGTCTCTTCTGGACAGGAAGGGTTAACAGTACTCCTTCTGAAGCTGTAGGTGTGGCTGTGGGGGCTGATGATGAAGGAGGGTCTCTGCACAGGGGGCTTTTCTAGAGAGTGGATCATAGAGGCAGCCGCTGACACACTGTTCCCAGGGACCTTTGGATCATTCTGGGGTCACTGAGTTCCTGACAGCCTGGACAGCAGCATGCATGAGCTGTAGCATAAAGCCAGTCAGTGACAGCTGCCACAGTCTGTGCAAGAGGCACGGGCTGCCCAGGCCCACTGCATAGCCCAGGTTCTCCCATAATCACACTGAACAGCCCGGGGTCCTCCCTCTGTCTGGATGACACTGGAACCCCATTAATTACGTAGCATAGTAGCAAAGTTGTTAGGAACAAAACAGACCATTGTGGGAGGGGATGAGTAGGGAGTGGTACCTCGGATAGTTTAGACTGAGCCTCAGAAAGAATGACTTCCGGGAATCAAGCTCTATCATTCTGATGCATGTGTCTGGGGCCGTGTTGAGTAGAGTGCCAGGATTTTGTGGGGTCTTGTGGGTGTAGATCAGGGTTTCTCCTGGGCACAGCTGACATTTTAATATGGGAAACTTTTTGTTTAGGGTGGGAAGCTACCATGAGCTTTGCGAGATTTTTTTTCTTTCCCCAGCATCTCTGGGGACCCACTAGCTATCCAAATAATCACCCTCTGTAGACAACAACAAATTGTCCCCAGACATTGCCAAATGTCCCCCTTGTGGGGTCAAACTCTTCCACAGACAGGAACCACTGATTTAGAAAAGGCTACTGACTTAAAATGAAAATCCTAAGGTCTTGGGACCAGACTGCGCAGCTTTGATCTCTTTCTGCTTGCCCCTCAAGTCTTGGCAGCTCGGCTGTCCTACCTGCTCCCATGACAGGACATGGATGTGCAGGAGGGGAATGGCTCTGATACACAGCTTGGGACTCGATGAGTCCCCTGGGGAGCTGCATGAAGCAGCGGCTATGCTCTGCTTTACAATGGGCTGTAAGGCAAGGCACCACATCTGGTGTGAAGCTTCCTGTGGCAATGACCTTCGAGGTTTGTGTGCCCATCACCGGAGTGGGACTACTTGTGTGTGTCTCTTCTGGTGCAATGCTTGGCAGTGGAAATCTCAATAAAGGGCAGAAGCTGTAGAGCTGACACCCCCCCCCCCGTCGTGCTCAGAATGCAAAGTGGAAGAGCCCAGAGCTGTGAGCTGTGCCTGCCAGGCAGGCTGCCATGTGCCGATTCGGTCAGCAGGGGGCAGCAGTCGCTGGGGAAAATGCCAGCCACAGGCAGGTGCCAAGCACTCTGGGCTTTTCATGGATTTCAGGGATTCTTTTACTTAAAGTTGAGTGAATCACCTCTCCAGAGTCACTCGAGGCCTCCTTTAATGGCCCTTTGACAGTTCATTTGTGAACAGCAAAAGCTGCTCTTCCAGAACGGTCTATGTTCAGTGTGTCTTGTCCTTTCCTGGGTAGATGAGGCACTAGGAGGCTGGTAGTGGATGGATAACTCAATCGGCTCTCCCTGGAGGCCCATGGCTTAGTCACACACCCCAGAGCCTGCTCTCTTTCTGTGCTCTGTGCATAAAGATTGTGTCGCTGTGTTCAGAGGGTTCACTAGCACAGATGGCTTGGTGTGACAGAGGCCAAACTCCACGAGAGCAAGGTGAGTTGTTTTTAGTGTTTTTGTCTGTCTTCCTTTTGTGGTACCCTCACCTCGAGGACACACCCCCCTGCCCATCTGGCCATTGCCCATCACCTGGGACTACTTGCACACTTTCTTAACCTGACCTTCAGCGCCCCCCAAACAGCACAACTCCCTGTCCTCTCATTATTTCTTAAGATCGGCTATTGACTTCCTGTGTTCCATTTCCAGTCAGCAGCTGGTGTAATCCTTAAACATAATTTAAGGCCACTGAGATGGTTGGGAGAGTAAAGGCATTGCCAAGCCTGGTGATGTTGATTTTGATCCCTGGGCCCCTCGTGGTGGAAGGAGAGAACCAATTTCCTCCCCAAGCTGTCCTCTGACATCTCTACATATGCCTCGAGGCACATGCCTCGGGGCTTCACTCTCTGAGGCCAATCGGCTTCCGGCTTCCAAGGACCAGCAGATGCGACCCTCCTGTGCTGCCCCAGGGTCTTTGCATCCCCCCTCCCCCCCCCCCCCCCCCCGTCCTGCTTTCCTTGACTCAGACACCTCATTCTGCTCTGGCAGCTGCCAAGGCGTTAGGTTCCAGGCTCCTCCTGCGGCTGGCACACTGACCAGTGGTTTGCCAATGTGCTGGGGCTCCCTGCTTCCCTAAAAGCCTCACTGCTGAGCACAACCTTCTGTGATTGTCACACAGGAGGCCACTTTGCGTGGCTGAACAGGGGGCATACACAAGAGTCCCTTGTTCTCTCCAACAACCTCCATGAAGGTGCAGTCTGACAGCTCACTCTGCCTAAGATGCACTGGTCAAAAACCCGGAGATCTCCCTGCTACCGGGATGGGTTCCATTCAGAGGTCAGTTCCCTGACACTTCCTTCAGGTAGCTTTAGGGCGTCAACACCCAAGGAGCCTTTGTGGCTGCCACATGGCAGCATTACCAAGACACCTGTTGGTGGCCCACAGGACAGAGCTGAGGGCCCTTTTTGGATAGGACTGGCCAAGCACATTAGCAAGGGTTGGGTGAGGTAGGGGTGACTGGAGCCTCCAGAACATTCCAGAGCTCTTCATCTGTAAGATCCCACAATAACATCTGTCACATTCTATAAAGGGAGCTATAAAAAGGAGACAGACGATCCTTCAAACCTCCCAGCTTATACCTTCTGAGGCCAAGTGCCCCAAAGGGATGCCCCCGGCTCTCTCAGGTGGCAGAGGAAGGCAGGTGGACCTTTAAGTCAGCTGATTCGGCTTGGAGGCTGAGTGTAAACAAAATGCACACCAGGGAGCCAGGAGCCCAGAGCTTGCCTTAGAAGCACAGGGCTGGGGGTGGCACTGTTGGTAGACTACAAGCACAAGGATCCCAGCTCCAGCCTCGGCGCCCACACAAAGAAGATGGGTGTGATATCAAGGGCTTGCAACCACAGTGTTCGGGAGGCAGAGACAGGAGGATTCTCGGAGTTCAACACTCAGCCAGCCTAGCCTATCTAGCAGGCACCAAGCCGGGGACAGACCTTGTCTCATAAAATAAGGTGGAAGGTGCTTGATGAATGACACCAGATGTGACCT